GAGACCTGCTTGGGCAACTTGATGAGACCTCATCTCTACAATAAATAAAAAAATTAGCCGGGTGTGGTAGTATACGCCTGTAGGCTGAGGCAGAAGGATCGCTGGAGCCCAGCAGGTCGAGGCTGCAGTGGCCAGGAGCATGCCACTGCACTCCAGTCTGGGTGACAGAGTGACACTCCAACTCAAAAAAAAAGAAAAAGAAAAAATTGACTGAGTATTGTGGCTTACACCTGTAATCTCAGTACTTTGGGAGGCTGAGGCAGGAGGATTGCATGAGCTCTGGAATCTGAGACTAACCTAGGCAACACATCTACAAAAAAATTTTTTTTAATTAGCTAGGTATGGTGGTATGCATCTGTAGTCCCAGCTACTTGGAAGGCTGAGGTAGAAGGATCGCCTGAGCCCAGGAGGTGAAGGCTGTGGTAAGCCATGATCACGTTACTACACTCTAACCTGAGCTACAGAATGAGACTCCAACTCCAACAAAAATTAAAAAAAAAATTTTTTTAAACAATCACCTTTATTTCCAGTCTAGCTTCTATTTGTTTTTTTTTGAATCAGAGTCTCACTCTGTCACTCAGGCTGGAGTGCAGTGGCACTCTCATAGCCACTGCAACTTCGACCTGCTAGGCTCAAGTGATCCTTCTGCTTCAGCCTTCCAAGTAGCTGGAACTATAGGCATGCGCCACCACACACGGCTATTTTTTTTTTTTTAATTGTAGAGATGAGGTCTTGCCATGTTGCCCAAGCTGGTCTCGAACCCGTGGGCTCAGGCACTCCTCTCACCTCCACCTCCCAAAATGCTGGGATTATAGGCATGAGCCACCGCACCTGGCTGAAAAAAAAAAAAAGGTAAAAATGCCCGTGGAGAACCTGCTGAGAATGCACATGGAAGGCCCAGCAGGGAAGGGCCAACCCACAGATAAATGCTGGCTAACTACAGCACATCATTCCCTTCCTCAAGAATCCTGATGAGTCCCCTTTGCTTTCAGAGTAAAGGCTGCGCACCTTCAGCTGGCCATCACCATCTGGACCCACAGGGTGGGAGGGTCCCGAGGCCTGAGGCTGCCCTGCGGGTGACAGTAGAAAGCACTGCTTGCTTTAACGTTGAGATGCCCCACTTCTTACTTCTCCACCCAGTTCTGTAGCCAGGCAGTTGAACTACAGTCCTCTGTGCACATGCTGTTTGCATCTGCCTGGAATGCTTTTCCCTTTTTTCTGCCTAAACCAGACTCGAATTCCAATGCCACCTCTTCCCCCAGTTCTCCCTTCTCCAAACCAACACCATCTCCTGCTCTCTGTGCTCCCAAGGCCTTATTAGCTCCTCTCTTGCTGCCTTATCATCCCTACGTGCTATTAGAGTTGCTTGTGCATCTGGCTTGTCTTCCCTGTCAACCAGAAGGTCTGTCAGGGGCTGTATGGACAGTAGGGGTGGGCAGGGGGTGGGCAGAGATCCCTATGACTTTCTAAGTCCTTGGAATAACCTGGGTAACACTCAGAGGCTGGGCAGGACACACATCTGCAAGCATCATGAGGCTCTGCCTCAGAGTAGAGGTTGGATGAGAGAGGAGACCATGGAGGGGTGGTCCTCAGAGTGTGATCCCCCAGACCAGCAGCATCAGCATCACCTGGGAAGTGTGTCAGAAATGCAGATTATTAGCCTCAGCCCAGATCTATCCAATCAGAAACTCTGGGAGTGGGGTCTGGCAATCTATATGGTCTGATGCACAGAAAACTTTGAGAACCACTGCCATAGAGCTAGAGACTGTGCCCAAGATGGGAAGCATGTGGGCTGTGGAGTCAGCCTTCCTAGGTTCAAAGCCCTGTTCTGAAGTTTAATGGCTGAGTGAGGAAGAACTCGGTGATACCACAGTGTAAGTATACGTTTTATGGGGTCATCCTCTCATAAAGGTCAACTGTGGTCCCTAATCTTTCATGTACATAAGAGTCACCTAGGGTGCTATTTATAGATGCAGTTTCCTGACCTCCCATTTCAGAAAATTTAATTCTGAGACTGGAGTAAGACCGAGGAATCTATATTTTAAATCAGCTCTGGGTGGTCCTAATGTGAGTGGTTCAAGAATCATTCTGAGAAACCCAGATGCAAAGGGCCTTGTGGGATGCCTTTTACGTACTAGGTAGCCTCTGTGGTGGCTGCAACTCTATCTATTGTGAGACCACATCAGAGGACGCCAGAAACAGTTGGGACCAGCTAGATGTGCTGGTCTGAGGAGAGAAAGTTCCCTGTGGGCCCCCTAATGCCAGTGTTTTCGTTAAGTGAGTTTGACCTGGGGGCGGTATCGAAAGGGCAGACATGTGCCTAGGGTCAGCACAGGGGATGGGGGACAGTATGATGGGGAGGTACTTCTGTGGTAGGTTCCGGACCAGTGAGTGTATGTGCCTCTTAGGTTTAGGTTTATGGGGGCACCTGCCGGGGGCCACCTAGCTGGTGTAACTGTGTTTCCCGGTGAAAGCTGAGCTTGTGGGTAGAACAGGGCTGGATGTCAGGGACTGGCTCCAAAGATGGTTCTGGCTGTGGGGCCAAGGAGAACTAGGTGGCACCAGATCCTAGTGTGGAACCCAAGGATCTTTCATCAGCGTCCTTGGCCACACAGTTTTGGGGGTACAGAGGGGCAGGACCACTGCCTTGTCCCAAAGTGACCTGAGCTACTCTGACAGTCCCTCTCTCCAAGGGTCTTGAGGAGGGGCTTTGCTTGGTGGCTGGATGCCCCCTAGGATGCTGTTTCCCCAACCACCACCAGGGGTCTCCGAGATTCCCCCGCAGACCTTGCCAATCCAGCATTCATCACCCTCCCTGAGCCTGTGAGCCTCCTCAGCACTGTCCAGCCTGGAGGTGACCCTGGAGGACGACTCCAGGCCTCATGGAGGAGAAGGGGGATCTGCCTCCAGGGGCCATGCTTGTGGGTCTCAGCATCAGCTAGGGGGTCGCACCTCGAGCACCAAGTGCTCTTCTAACTTCCCTCCCCACCCCGGCCTCAAGACAGCCCGCCCGAATGGTGGGCCCCTCCTCTGCCTGGCTCCACTCCTCCTTCCTCACTGGCAATGCTGGGAAACACAGGTCATAGCTTGGGAATGCGGCCCTGGGCGGGGGTGAGGCAATAGGAGGAGGGAGAAGGACATGTGACCCCTGCTCAGCGGCCCCCCCCTTTCTGGCTCTGTTTCCAAGCCCCTTCCCCAGCCCAGACAAAATGGGTGCTAGTTATGAGGGGTTACTTGGGGGCAAAAGCCCATGCTCTCCTCACTGTTGGCCCTGGTGGGCCCAATGAGTAAAAGGCAAGTTGCCAACAGGTGCCCTGGCAGAGTGGGTAGGAGGACTGGGTGCTGGCCTAGCGCCTTGTGGTGACTGCTGGGCCAAACCTGCCATGGCAGGAATGGGGAGGCCGAGGTGTGATTCTGAGCCTTCTCAGGTTGAGGGAGGCATCTCTGGGAAGGAGAGCAAAGGTCTGACAGTCCTCTGATGCTCAGTGCCAGAGAAAACAGGGTATGGCCTGGCTCGTCAGCCCATTCCCAGATCAGGGATCTTGATGGTTTGGTCAGAACACGGGGCAACACAGGGGCCATTTGCCACCGATGCCTCCTTTGGTGAACTTGTCAAAACTCCTGGATCAGGACAGGCGTCTTGAATGCCACTTTGCAGCCCCACCTGTCTCCTATCTTGCTTTGGGGACTGAGGCACCACTGAGGGGGCTTTGCTCTTGTCAGGGTCCAGAAGCTGTAAGGAGAGAAAAGGCAGATCCCACGGCTTGGGAATGAGCAGCGTGGCTAAATTCAGCCAGGCTGTGCTCTGCCCCTCCCCTCTCCTCCCCCTCTACTCCAGGGCTGCTTGTGGTCTCAGCAGGCACCACCTTCCCAGCCAGCTGCCCGCCTGCCGGCCTGCCACCCAGCCTTTCCAGCCAGCCCCCACCTCCTCCTCCCTCCCTCCCCCAGGGCCTTCTGCGGGGCCTCAGCTGGGTCAGCGAGTGAGTGGGGCTGGGCAGGCTGGGCTCCTGCTCCCGGGGGAGCCACGGCGGGGTGGGTAGTGGGCAGGAGTGGGAGGGCCTGGTGCCAGGGCAGAACCTTCGAGACAGGCGCAGGCCGGGGTCCGTGTACAGTCTCAGGGTGAGTTGGGGTGCAGCCCTGATGTGGGTTTGGGGTGGGGGAACCGGAGGAGGGGCCAGGGGGCTGTGGCAGACTCATGTCTGTATTTGGCAGTCGGATAGGAGCCAGTTCAGTGAGGCTGGGCCCCTGGCCAGTTGCAGAGGAGGGCGTCAGGGCCCTGGGGACACCCCTCCCCCAAGGCGGACTCTGGTGCCCCCTCCTCTCCCCAGTCTGAGCACCTTTTCTGTGGATGACTGCAACTCTGTTTTCCTATCCCCTGAGAGTTTTGGGGTCTGTGCCCCAGGGCTGAGGCCAACAGGTGCCCCTGGGGTTTCTGCGGCAGGAAGCTGAGAAGGGAGAGGGGGAAGGGCAGGCTGGACGGTGCCGCCTCATTGGCCCTGGACTGGGGTCAGGATGGGACTTGTCTGAGGTGCATGTCCCTCTGCCCCGGGCCCAGCTTGCCCAAGAAACTGGTGTCCTGGCTGTGGCGCTCTGGGGTCCCAGAAACATGCACCACCTGCTTTTGGAGCCTGTGATTGGTAGTCTGGGCCCTCACTCCATGCCAGGAATGTGGTTCCCTGCTCCTGCAGAGTTCTCCCTCAAGGCCCAGGGGCGTCCCTTTGGCTGTCCAAATGCATTCCCTATGGTGTCCCCTCCCTGGAGGGTCAGTGGGGTCAATGTTGGCAGAGACTGTGGCCAAGGAGGATCCAGGGCTCTGGGAGAGGAAGTACCAGTGTAAGGTAGCACAGCAAGTGAGTGCGAGCCCAAGAGGTGAAGTTAGGGCACGGCTGGCCTTTGGGGAGCTGCTTCAACTCCTAGGCTCTGTGCAACACTCTAGCCAGTTCTCTCTGTCTCTGTGTCAGCCGTTCCTCCCCTGGTATCTCTCTCTGTCTCTCCTCCAGGCGGGTCCACATCCCCTTTCAGTAGCCCCATCACTTCTGATGAGGAGTACCTGAGCCCCCCAGAGGAGTTCCCAGAGCCTGGGGAGACCTGGCCCCGACCCTCCACCATGAAGCTCAGTCCCAGCCAGAACCGCCGTTCCTCCGACACTGGCTCCAAGGCACCCCCCACCTTCAAGGTCAGACCCCTGAGGCTGGCACCCAGTCCCCTGAATACCCCCATTCCTTTATGTGTCCCCTTGTCCTTGGGGCTGTGTTTCGGCTCCAGCAAGACTTGAAACTTTGCAACTAATTCATCCTTCTTACTTGAAGCCAGCCTTGGTCAGACTGTGTTGAAGAGACCCCTTCCCCAGTCCCCAGGAACCAAGGCTATGCCCCCACCATCTCACCTGACACTTTGGGTCTCCCTTCAGGTCTCACTTATGGACCAGTCAGTAAGAGAGGGCCAAGATGTCATCATGAGCATCCGCGTGCAGGGGGAGCCCAAGCCTGTGGTCTCCTGGTGAGTAGCCACCCTTAGCACCACCTGCCATCTGCCCCCATGTGCTGTTTGGCCCTATGAGGCCTGGCTTGGGTGGGCCCAGTGTGGGCTTCCTCATGATCTGCCTCGCCTCTTCCCAGGGACGGCTGTGCTCTCCGTCCAACATACCCTGACCCCTTGCCCTGGTCTTCCAAGTTATTCTGGGCATCCCCTTCTGGGGAGGGGCTTGGGTAATAGATAATGTCAAGTCTGTCCACCTGGGATAAATGACCAGAAGTCCTCTCTCTCCTGGGGAAGTCTGCGCACCCGTTAGTTGCCAGCAGGTGGCTTTTGAGCCCACTTTGTGCCCAACCTGTGCTAGGCCCAGTCTAACAATTTGTTTCTGAGCTGCCAGCAGCCCAGAGTTACGCGGGGGTCTGAGCCGCGGGGCCTCTCTCATCCCAGGTGCCTGGAACATCGACATCTCAGCTTGCCGACTTTGTTATTGGCTTGGGTTCTGTTTTTCATTTTTAATCGGTTGTTCCCCACTGTGATTAAAAAAAAATAAAACATTGTAAGTTCTTTCATATCCCTTTTGGGAAGTGGGAAAGCTATTTGTCCATTATCAATAAACACAAATAAAAACATGGGGAAGTTTGGGAGCTATTAAGAGCTTAGTGGCGTGGTTCTATTCTGAGTGCAGTGGGGTTCTGAGAGAGAAGGAGATCCAGGTGGGCAAAGGTGACCTGGATGTTCTGGGGGCGGGGTGTGGGATGGTGGAGTCAGGGTGAAGACTTAGCTCTGGAGCCCAGGGATACCCATGGCCCATGGGATGGATTTGGAGATTGGGCAAACAGTGCTCGAGGCTGCAGCCCTGCTTCCCTGTGCATGCAGGTCAGGCCTGGGCCTTGGGACTGAATTCTTATTCCCCTGACAGGCTGAGAAACCGCCAGCCTGTGCGCCCAGACCAGCGGCGCTTTGCAGAGGAGGCCGAGGGTGGGCTATGCCGGCTACGGATCCTGGCTGCTGAGCGCGGTGACGCTGGTTTCTACACTTGCAAAGCTGTCAATGAGTACGGCGCTCGGCAGTGTGAGGCCCGCCTGGAGGTCCGAGGTGAGCACCTCATACTCTCCATAAACACTTGGCCCTGACCCCGTCCTCCCCCACTGACTGCTCTCACACAGCCTCAGTTATGGGATGCCACCACTGAAAGGGCCTTAGGAGTCCCCTGGTCCAGCTGCTTACATTGTAGTTGAGTAAGCCGAGGCCTAGAGAGGGGAAGCAACTTGCCCAAGAGGGCACAGCAAATAGTTCCGCGCTCACTGACTCCTACACAGTGCTGCCTTCCCCATGCTCCATCATGCAGCCCGAGTGTCAACCAGAGACCCTGCTTCTGCTGCCATTCCTTCTCTACACTCTTCTGAGCCTTGGTCACCCTGATCTGCCCAGGCCCCTCCCTCACTCCCAGCCCCCACCCCTTGCCCTCTTGCCCACCCTGCCCATCCCATTGCTGTGCAGATGCTGTTGTGGTTGGGGGGTAGCAGTGGGGAGAGTCTGGTGGCTGGACCCGTTCGGAGGGACCCTTGGGGTGACTTGGGCTTGGAGCATGGCAGGGACCCCGGAGTGCCAGGGTGAGCACAGCCATGGAGTCTGGAGGGGGCTGGGTTCCCAGAGTTGGGGGTATACGGTCAGGGCCCTTCTCGGGCGGTGGAGATGATTGGTCCTAGCTAGGCTGCCCTCGAGGGCTGGTGAGTGTCCTCTTCGAGGGCCAGCTGCTGCCTTGACTTCTACCTCACCCAGCCCTGGGCTAGCGACCTCTCCAAGCTCTTCATTCAGCCCTCGGCCCTCCCTGCCTCCCATGAGGCTCAGATCCCTAACAGTCACGGTCCCCCTGCCAGGCCCCTCCTGCCTCAGTTACCCTTCCCTGCGTCTTCTCTCCCTATGGTTGCCACCTCCTTGGTTTCCAAATTTTTCATCTCCTGTTCCCGGGCCTGCTCTTTCTCCTCCAGGGTCTGGCTCTGCCTTGCTTCTCTGTGTTAACCTGTGTCTCGGTGCTTCTTTCTTTGGGATTCCTCCCGACATCCCTCCAGGTTTTGGGGTGCTCCTGATGCCCGGGAATGCCTCTCCCCTGGTTTCCCAGGGGCTCTGCCTGCCTAGGGACCCAAGGACCCGGCCCTCTGACTAGCTGCCGGCCCTCCCAGCCCAGGGCTGACCTTGGGGGAGTTGGGAGTGACCATGCTGCCTTGGCAGTTTGAGAGGCCACTCTCCATCCAGAAGGGCCCTAGCCAGATCTGCGCGCCAGTGCATGTGTGCGTGTGCGTGCGTGTGCTGCACTAACCTGCCGCTTGCTGACTGAGGTTTTTGTCTGTACACAGGCGAGTGAGCTCAGGGGGCCACCTGTGCTCCCCCCGCTACCCTCCGAGCCGCGCCCCTGTCTCAGGCACCTCTCGGACCTCGCTGTGTTTCACTGCCTCCTGCCCACAGACCCAGGCCCGCCGGCCCGGAGCCATCCCAGCCTCCCCTCCCCACCCTATGCAGCACCCTGGGATATCCCATGGGCCCCTGTGGACCCTCCCTCCCCAAGTGGACACATGGCTGTGCAGGCCAGGAGGCCCCAGATGGACTGAGTGCTGGGAAGGGGCGGCCATGAGGGGTATTGAGCCCCCCAGTCTCTCCCCACGGGGGAGCACCGAGCGGGCGCATGTGCTGCCACTGCTACAGGCCTGTCTATCTGTTTGTCTGTCTGTGTGTATGTAACAGTCAAGGAAGGACGCCTCTGAGCTGGGGTGGGGTGAGACAGAGCGGGAGAGGACAGGGTGCAGCGTCTGCAGGATGGAGGGCCCAGACGGGAGGGGCTGTTGACGAGGACCTCACCGGGAGGGGGCAGGGCGCAGGCCATTCCAGAAATGGGTTCCCAGTGGCACAACACTTTCTATACTACAAGAGACCAAAAGCCAGAGGCCCCGGACTCTGTGCTGATGACTGGCCTGACTGACCCCTGGCGGGTTTAGGGCCGATTTGGGGCCCCCTCCACTACCAGGGCAGGGCTGTGGATGCTCTGTCTGGGAATGAGGGAGTCAACCAGGCTTGGCACAGGAGCAGGGGGCTGCTGTGATGGGTGTAGAGATTTGGAAACACCTATTTCTTAGCTCAAATAAAGTCCGGTTTGTACCCAGCTTGTGTGCTGTGTTTTTTTTTTTTTTTCCGCCGTCGTCTCTGCCACTAAGTGATTCTCAGTTTCCCCTTCCTCAGCTCCCTCTCACCTTCCATGAGTCACCCTCCCTGGCCCAGCTTGGGTTGCCATCTCAAAGCCAGGTCTAGGTGTTCTTTGCTGTCCTGCCGGGTGGTGGGCTTTCCCTGTCTCCAGAGGAACAAAATGCATCTCTCTCTCTGTGTCTGTCTGTCTCTCTGTGTGTGCGTGCGTGTGTCTCCCTCACCCTGTGTGTCTCTGCTCCATGTGTGGCCCCTGTGGCTGCCTTCCCCCCAGCACACCCTGAAAGCCGGTCCCTGGCCGTGCTGGCCCCCCTGCAGGACGTGGACGTGGGGGCCGGGGAGATGGTGCTGTTTGAGTGCCTGGTGGCGGGTCCCGCCGACGTGGAGGTGGACTGGCTGTGCCGCGGCCGCCTGCTGCAGCCTGCGCTGCTCAAATGCAAGATGCATTTCGATGGTCACAAATGCAAGCTGCTGCTCACCTCTGTGCACGAGGACGACAGTGGCATCTACACCTGCAAGCTCAGTACGGCCAAAGGTAACCGCCCACTCAGGCCCTAGGGCTGCTGTGGATGCCCAAGAGCTGGAGGGAGGGGACTGGAAGGTGCAGAATAAGATGCTCAGGAAACGGGGCACCATCCCCTGGGGGGTGGGAGATAGTGCAGCACCCCTGCCTCAATGAGATGAGTGCTCAGAGTAGTAGTAGCAGGCACAAAGGAAGGGCTGTGTCAGGGTCAGCTGTCCCTGTGAGGAGTGACTCTGTGGAGGACCCAAACCTGGACTTGGATTCCAATTCCTGCCCTGCAAGTTACCAACCACGTGACTTTGGACAAGTCACTTGATCGCTTTGAGCTCTAGATGATTCACCTGTAGAAAGGGGATTGTGATAATAGGTATTATCACAATACCTTGTTAAGGGGATTGGTAGGATTCACGAGATAATGTATGTGAGAAACAAGGCACAGCACCTGTGGAAGGGTGGTACTTAATACATGTCAGTCACTGTTGTCACTAATGACACCTCTGACCTGGTCGTGTCCTTGTGTGAAGAGCAGAGATGATGGCACCTGCCTCACAAGGGTATGGCTGGTAGTCACCTAAGGTGCACCTAGAAGACTTTTTAGGCAGAAAGAAGCATCCGGTCAGCAAAAGGGACCATTATCCACTCCAGAAGATTCTTTGGGGATGGTAGAGCGGGGCCAGCACCTGCTCTGAGTCTGAGGCAGGAAGGAGAGAGTGTGGGCATGAACCAGGCACAGAGGATTGTTCTAAGAGGGGGCATGGGGAGGGGAGTGGGCTTGGCTTCTGGGACCCTCCCGGAGTTGGGCTGTGCTTCATCCTGGGTGGGTAGGATGAGATGAGAAGGAGAGAGCTGGGGCCAAGCCCTCCATGGCAACCTGCCTCCAGCCCTTGCTGATTTTCACCCTCCTGACAAGGTCCAGCCTCTGGATCTTTGCCTGATGCCTCACCTCCAGATCCCAGAGCCTTGCTGGGCTCTGCTCAGGCTCCAGCTTCTGCCTGGCCTTAAGCAAGACCTGCAGGTTGGGATACCTGAACCTTCTTGGCCTTCCCTACCCCTGTGCTGCTCCCTGCCCCCCAGATGAGCTGACCTGCAGCGCCCGGCTGACCGTGCGGCCCTCCCTGGCACCCCTGTTCACGCGGCTGCTGGAAGATGTGGAGGTGCTGGAGGGTCGAGCCGCCCACTTCGACTGCAAGATCAGCGGCACCCCACCCCCTGCGGTTACCTGGACCCATTTTGGTATGGACCCCACCCTGTAGGTGTTGGAGGATCCCCAAGGCCCAGGCCAGGATGGGGTGTGCCCTGAGGGCAGGGCCCCTGCTGTGGCTGCTTTGTATTCTCATGCCTCCTTCCCCAGGCCGCCCTGTGGAGGAGAGCGAGAACTTGCGGCTAAGGCAGGATGGGGGTCTGCACTCGCTGCACATTGCCCACGTGGGCAGCGAGGACGAGGGGCTCTATGCGGTCAGCGCCAACAATACCCACGGTCAGGCCCTCTGCTCTGCCCAGCTCTACGTAGAGGAGCCCCGGACAGCTGCCTCGGGCCCCAGGTACCACCAGCGGCCCCAGGTGCTGGTGCTGTCAGGGCTGCCTGTGAGGGGTCCAGCCCGGCCCTGGGGTAGGAGGCACGACCTGGGCCTCTGGGCAGCTGTATGATCCTTACAGCTCCAAGCTGGAGAAGATGCCATCCATCCCCGAAGAGCCAGAGCAGGGTGAGCTGGAGCGACTGTCCATTCCTGACTTCCTGCGGCCACTGCAGGACCTGGAGGTGGGACTGGCCAAGGAGGCCATGCTGGAGTGCCAGGTGACCGGCCTGCCCTACCCCACCATCAGCTGGTTCCACAACGGCCACCGCATCCAGAGCAGTGATGACCGGCGCATGACACAGTGTATGTGTCTGGCAAGGGACCTTGGGAGTGTCCCTTCCAGCAACTTCTTGGCTTGCAGTGCCCTGCCCCTCTCTCTGGATTCCCTCAGGGCCTTCCCTTTCTAGTCTGGTCAGGGATGGAGCGCCTGGGGAAGGGAGCCCAGAGGGGCTGTGAGGTCATTACCTACCTCCTCAAGCCGGCACAGCACTCATCTGCTGAGTCACCCTTGGTAGCCCTGTCATTACTCACTGGGCAGGCAGCACAGCCTGCTACTGACCAGCATTGGGCCCACGAGCAAGTTACAGAACCCCTCTGTGCCTCAGTTTCCTCATCTGTAATTGGGTTGTGCTGAGATTAAATCAGTTAATACATCCGAAGCACCTATCAGGGCCTGGCAAATAGCAAGTGTTCAAGAAATGTTAAATCTTTTTTTTTTTTTGAGTGGGAGTCTCACTGTCACCCAGACTGGAGTGCAGTGGCACATTCACAGCCACCACAGCCTCGACCTGCTGAGCTCATGCAATACCTCCACCTCAGCCTTCCAAGTAGCTGGAGTCACAGGTATACACCGCCACACCCAGCTAATTTTTTGATTTATTGTAGAGACAAGGTGTTGCCAAGTTGACGGGGCTGGTCTTGAAACCTTGAGCTCAGGGAGTCCTCTCGCCTCCACCTCCCAAAGTGCTGGGATTACAGGCGTGAGCCACTGTGTCCAGCAAGAGACATTAAATCTTACTGTCATTGCTGCATCTTATTGTCATTGCTGTTGTCATAGTCACTGTTATCACCGCTTTTGATAAAGCCGTGTTGCTCCCGCCTCCTGGAGACATTTCAATGAAAAGACAGGTGTGGACAGTGTCTGGCATCGGAAGGACACTTGGTCCAGGGTTGTCAACTAATAGCAAGTAAGGAGGAGTTGGGGAGACTCAGAGGAATGCATTTGGGTTGGCATCCTCCCAGCCTGGGATATTTTCTCATGGGAACATTTCAGTTCCATCCTTGAAGAAATCAGAATCTGGTAGACAATGCCTGCACTGTGACCTATGATGGTTTCCTCTCACAGTTGCAACATGACAAAAGGTCACCTTTAGTAAGCGCTTTCTAAGTGCCAGGCCTTGAGTACTAAAGGCCTGATGTGGACAATCTTATTTTACCACAAACCTGTGAGGCAGGTACTATTAACCCCATTTATAGATGGGGAAACTGAGGCTTAAAGAGGTACAGGGACTTGCCCAAAGACAGGTAAGGACCGTCTGACTGTGGCGACCGTCTCCTGACCGGGATGTCCCCGTCACCCATTCTGTATTCTCCCTACCCCATCCCCACTCGTTTCCAGCACTGCCACCATAGCTCTGACCCTTGCCCATGGTTGTCTTTGCTCAGCTACCAGCTTCCCTGTCTCAGTCTGCTCTGAGGCCCTGGGTGGGTGTCTGTCTCAGGATCTGAGCTGGCGCCTCTGCTTCTGCCTGTATCTGGGGTCATTGGCAGGCTCGGTTTCTCTTCCCTGATAAATAGTGTCAGCAGAGATAAATGAATGGGTGACTGTTCTATGCAGAAATAACCACTAAGAGAAGGGAGGGGTGTTTGGGGACAGCCCTGATGTGAAGGAGGACAGTACAGCCCTCCTCTTTGTGTCCTCGCCAAAGACAGCCTCCTTATCATTCAGGGAGCAGGACATAAGGAAAGAGCTTTGGAATCAAAGTTCAAGCCACACCTTCACTGTTTATTAGCTGTGTGACCTTGGACAAGTCAATTAATGTCTCTGACCTCATTGGTAAAATAGGGACAATTCTCTAGGGTTGTTAAAGATTTGTGGGGAGAAGCATGTCAAATGTCTAGCATATACTGGGCACAAAGCAGACAATTCTTATCATTTACAATTTAATGTATTTGGTACTTACTGCATGCAGGGTTCTGGGTCTGGTAGACAAGTAGATCTGACAAAGTCAGTCCTCTCTTTAAGGAACTTGCAGGCTGGGTCAGAAGCTATGACTCACACAAGTAAGGAGGAAGAACCCCCCAAAGCATTGTTGGCCAGTGCCCAGTAATATGTAGGCCAGAGGGTTGGAGGCCTGGAAGAGAGTCAGAAGATGGGGTAGAGAAGGGGCAGGACCTGGCAAGGGAGGCTTCACGAGGCTGCACTCGCTTGAACTACGTCTTAAAGAAGAAGGAAGCCTTGGTAAGAAGAGAACATTACAAAAGGGAGGAACTGGGGGGGCAAAGACCTGGAGATGGAACTCAGTGGCTTGTGTGAGGACCTGATGATTTGTCAGGGTTAAGACCTGAAGGAGACATGGCTGGCAGGGGGTTTGGGCTGAGGGCTTGACTGTCCTGGCGGAGAGCTTTCCTAGGGCTCTGCTGGAGACAGGGTGGCAGTAACCTTGGGGACGGAGAAGACGGGGTCTGGGGGAGGGGCCTTAGGAATGGAGCCTTGTCAGAACTTTGACACGAAGATTGTGACCCTGCAGAAGTATGCTAATGAGAGGTCAGTCAACAGGGGTTGGGACCCCAGAGGTCGGCCCAATGTGGAAGATGATAAGTTGCTGGACCTGACGTGCTGAGGGGATAGGCCAGAGGCCAGGTCTGCAGGTGTAGACTTGGAAGCCAGTCCCGTCCTGGACCTGGAGTTTTCTGTGTGATGGTCACACTTCTTGCTGCGTCTGCCCTCACCTGCTCACCCCCTCCTTGCAGTGGGTGGGGTGAGGGGCCAGGCATGGATGGCATGGGCCCACCCCTCAAAGTATCCTCCTAGCTCAGGCCCAGTGTCACTGTCCCTCCCCCACCAGACAGGGATGTACATCGCTTGGTGTTTCCTGCCGTGAGGCCTCAGCACGCTGGTGTCTATAAGAGCGTCATCGCCAACAAGCTGGGCAAAGCTGCCTGCTATGCCCACCTGTATGTCACAGGTGAGTCCAGCACCCCTGTGGTCAGCTGTGTCTACTGCCTGGCCTCTGGCACTACCCAGGGGCTGGGGGAAGGGGGCTCCATACCGGCTCCCTTCCTCTCGATCCCCTGGAGACCATCCAGCCTTGTCACCTCCCTTAAAACTCCTGGGCCCCCTGCTGCCCAAGGGTTGGTGATCTATGAACATCCCACCTGTGGCTTTCAGATGTGGTTCCAGGTCCCCCAGACGGTGTGCCACAGGTGGTGGCTGTGACTGGAAAGATGGTCACACTCTCATGGAACCCTCCCAGAAGTCTGGACATGGCCATCGGTAGGTCAGGGCCACATGGGGCTCTGGGTGGAGAAGGGGTGTGGACAGAGCAGGTTCAGGCAGGCACCGAGGGAGCACGGCCCCAGAAGTGTATGGTCGGGGGCAAGTGCAGGGATGTGGCCAGGAATGTCTTTGCCTGTCTTCTCTTCATGACAGATGAGGCCTTTGCTCTAGGTCAGGAGAGGAGGCACGAGGTACCACCACATTCCCTTCCCTTTCTCAGAGGGACTAGGAGCCTGCAACTATCATCTCCTCCCCTTTGTCCAGGATGTCTTCCCATTCTATGCCTCAGTTTCCCTACCTTAAGTAGCAAGGAATTGGAATGCGAAGTCCAGCCCCCCCCATGCCTATAATTGGTACCTTGTTGATTTTAAGCCTGCCAGACAGTAGTTGGACAAGAGCAGGTCAGGGATAGGCAAGAAACAAGAGGAGAAACTGAGGCACATACTCAGACCAGACTAAGGATGATCTCCAGAGTCCTCTAAGCCTACCAGGGCAGTGGTTGGGCAAGAACAGGTTGAGGGTAGGTGGAAAGCAAGAGGAGAAACTGAGGCACATCCTCAGGCCAGACTAAGGATGAGCTCCAGAGTCCTGAGCCAGCTGGATGGGGAGGGGGTGCTGTCCCAGCAACATCAGTCTCTAGCAACTCCTCCCCCACCAGATCCAGATTCCCTGACGTACACAGTGCAGCACCAGGTGCTGGGCTCAGACCAGTGGACGGCGCTGGTCACAGGTCTGCGAGAGCCTAGGTGGGCAGCCACAGGGCTACGCAAGGGGCTCCAGCATGTCTTCCGGGTCCTCAGCACCACCGTCAAGAGCAGCAGCAAGCCCTCACCCCCCTCCGAGCCCATACAACTGCTGGAGCATGGTGAGCCCAGGTGCCCATGAGGATGGGGTGGGAGCTGCTGGGCTGGGGAACAAGGCCTGGGCAGATGCTCAGGCTGGCCTGGACACAATAACTGGTAAAAGCTGCCAGGTCAGGCAGGCTCCCAACCCATCTGTGTACTTTCTTATTACTCCTGAAAGTAGCAGGACTCAGTAGGCAAAGCTAAGGCTTTGGCATCAGACATGCCGGAGTCCAACCTCAGAGTCCCAGCTTTGTGGCTTCCTGGCTGTGTCTCCTGGACAAATTACTAAGCCTCTCCGAGCCTCAGCTTTCTCACCTGTAAAAATGGAGCTTGAGTGGCGATTGGGTGTATTAAAGGAGAGGGGGACACTAAGGAACTGGCATCAAGCCTAGCACAGAAGTTGCGCTCTCCTCCTCCTAGGCCCGCCCCTGGAGGAGGCCCCCGCTGTGCTGGACAAACCGGACATCGTGTATGTGGTGGAGGGACAGCCTGCCAGTGTCGCCGTCACCTTCAACCATGTGGAAGCCCAGGTCGTCTGGAGGAGGTGAGCCTCCCCCAACATGTGGTAGCCCAGTTAGAACTGGCAAGGGAGCTCCTGCGTCACCTCCCTGGCATGTGTTCCTTAGTTGCCGAGGGGCCCTCCTGGAGGCAAGGGCAGGTGTGTACGAGCTGAGCCAGCCGGACGATGACCAGTACTGTCTTCGGATCTGCCGTGTGAGCCGCCGGGACGTGGGGCCCCTCACCTGCACTGCCCGCAACCGCCTCGGCACACAGACCTGCTCAGTCACACTGGAGCTGGCAGGTGGGTGACTGTGGGCCTCCCTCCTGTCCTCCCTCTGAGGCCCATGGCTGTCTCCTCACACCCCCAGGCACATGACTCACCTGTTACTGCTGGGGATCCAATCCCATGTTTTCCCTCTCAGGCCTGTCCATCTAAAGGCTATACTACTACTACTACTACTAATAATAATAATAATAATAATAATAGTAATAGTAATATTACTAATAAGATACTTATTGGCCAGGCTTGGTGGCTCAGCCTGTAATCCTAACACTTTGGGTGGGTGGATTGCCTGAGCCCATGGGTTCGAGACCAGCCCAGGCAACTTGGCAAGACTTCGTCGCCACAATAAATTAAAAAAAAAAATTAGCTGGGTGTGGTAGCATGCATCAGTAGTTCCGGCTACTTGGAAGGCTGAGGAAGAAGGATTGCCAGAGCCCAGCAGGTCATCGCTGGGTTGGCCATGACTGCGCTACTGCATTCCACCCTGGGCAGCAGAGTGAGACTCTAACTCAAAAAAAAAAAAAAAAGAGAGAGAGAGAGATTTATTGAACGAGGCATGGTGGCATGTACCTGTAGTCTCAGCTACTTGGTAGGCTGAGGCAGGAGGATTGCTTGAGTACAGGAATTCGAGGCTATACTGTGCCATGATGTCCCTGTGAATAACCACTGCACTCCAGTCTGGATAACACAGTGAGATCCTGTCTCTATTAAAACAAAAAAAAGAAAGAAAAAAGATATTTATTGGGCATTTGTGAAATGGGGCTGGTTGTTATCTCCATTTTACAGATGAGGACATAGGCTCAAAGAACATGCTAAGAAACTGGCCCAAGGTCACACAACCTAATAAGTATAGGAGCTGAGCTCGCATCTAGATGCCTGACTCCATAGCCAGTGAGTGCTCCCAGCTCTTGTGCTAAACACACCAGGAAACAGTATCTCAAATATAACAAGCATAGGAAGACTAAGTTCATTAAAACAAAGAAAAGTCCATGAGTGCATCTTATCACCAGACTCCCAGCTCTGAGGATCCTTGCTGCCCTTTTGCACTAGCCTGTTTGACAAGCCTCTCAGCTTTTGCAGCAAGGACCCTGTTTATAATTTCTCCTTTAAAGATGTAGTCTCAAACGGTTGCACACATTAGGTAGTAATTGTTTTGTTTTCCGGTTTGTTAATTAACTCTAGACATTTGTAACTACCACTCAAAACTTCTGATCAACATGGACTAAGCAGGGTTACCTGCTGAGTAAATACAATTCCAACCAAAAGAGAAGAAAGTGACATTTTAGTTAGTACAGGCTATCTTATCATGGATAAATGGACATTTTTCTGGCACTTAAAAAAAAAAAATTCAAGGCTCACTAAAAACCTTCTGATACTTTGACCTCTGTAGCCTTCTTCCACTACCACAGCAGATTCCTAGAGGTGAGGGAAGATGGCTTTGAGGTGGAAGAGAAGTGGCAGTGGGGTGTGAAGATGAGGTATGGGGCGGGCTCCCTCTAATATGTCTTCCTCCTTGCCCAGGCCACCCACTGGACACTCTCTACTCAGTCACCACTTTTTTGCTCCTTGGCAGTAGCTTCTGCAGGACTCAGCTTTCTTCCGAGATATAGGAGGAGCCCCAGAGTCTGGGGAGGCGTTGGCCTTGAGAGCCCTGCAGCCCAGCCTGGCTGGGACAGTGACCAGGGGAGACTGTGTCCCAGCTGGCCACGGCTAAAATGGGTCTGGGGCTTGCGCCGACATCTCCATTCCTCTAGCCCCCACTCCACCACCACTCAGGCAGGACAGTGGGAATGGTAACCCGCTTTCTTCCACATCAGCCCCACTGTGGTGTCTTCCCTACTTCCAAGATGGCCTCTTCTGCTGTCTGTGAATGGTGATGGTCTGTACCCAGTGATCCTGCTTTTCCCTGAGTGCCTGGTCATTCCCACTTCCCTAAAAGCCAAGATCCTCAAACATGCTTTGGGGGGCGGTGGGGAACCTGGAAGTCACAGGCTCCTTTGCGAAGCATATTGCAATATGCGTTGAATTCCATCATGAGAATTAGAAGTTGCTTTACCAGGCAATAAAATGACCCTGTGAAATATGTGGAGAATGAAATCATAGCTGCATGTGGGAGAACTAAGCTGCGAGTCAGTTTCTAGATGATTTGGTTTATATATGGGAATTACTCGTTTGTTCATGTCACCATCTCCCAGACAGTAGAAGGCCCCCTAAACATTTATTTTTTTTTGAGTCGGAGTCTCACTCTGTTGTTCAGGCTGGAATACAGTGGCACGCTCACAGCCACAGCAGCCTCGACCTGCAGGGCTCAGATGATCCTTCCACCTCAGCCTTCCAAATAGCTGGAACTACAGACATGTGCCACCATGCCCAGCTAATTTTTGATTTATTGTAGAGACGAGGTCTCACCAAGTTGCCCAGGCTGGTCTTGAGCTCAGGCAATCCTCTCGCCTCGGCCTCCCAAATGCTGGGATTACAGACTTGACCCACTGTGCCCAGCCTCCCCCTAAACATTTAAATAAGAATCAGAGAGAAAAACTTCAAGATAGAAGCAATGTCCTCCGTGAGCTTAATTCAGGGTCACAGACTGAAGTGCCTGCAGGGGCCAAGTTCTGGTAAAGTCAGAGAAGCCAGTGGGGTGGCCATGCGAAGAAGGGCAGCCACCCACAGGGGGCAGCATTGAGCCACTTGTCGCCTGCAGATTCATGCAGGGAAGGGAGCGGCTATGGATGGCCAGTCCTGATTTTTCAGCAGAGGCAGGAAATCCAGATTTCTTTTGTGTGTGAAAATCTCCTAATTTCAAAGCCAGCAAGTGAACACTGAAGGTCAAACAAAGCAAGCCCGCCCCTTGTGCCAGGTTTCCTGAGATTTGGGGAGCATCATGTTTGGATTGACAGGGAGGGTGCTTGGTCCAGGCAGGGACCTCAGGTGTCCCGGTGGGGGTGGGTGGGGAGGTGCTGGGAGGCGGAGGTCTCAGTTCTGACTGAGCCAGTTGCTGATGTGGGATCTGGAGCCCAGCTGAGGAGGCAGGCCCTGGTGTCACCAACCTCCCGCCCCCT